TTCACATTCATTTTATCAAGTGAATCACTTATGTCCGATTTGTATTAAAAACGTTCCAAAGTTTTACATTTAAGGTATTTTTTGCACAATGAAAATTCTGGAATGATTACGAAAAAAAATAAACGTGTGAGATATGATCAAATAATCGGATCGACCTTAAGGAGACAGAACAAAATCGCTGGAAAATATTAATAATCATATCATGTCAAAGGACTCGGTGGAGTCCCTTATAGCTGTATACTTACTTGTTCATGACAAAATAGGTTTGTTTAAATTAGTTTCAGATTTCCCAATAACATATTTACTCGTTTTCAGATTTACTCAAAATCAGATTATCTCATTTACAGATCAGTGGACTGATGATTAAACGGTTACATGGCAACGCACACAATATAGATGACATGTGAAGAATTGAGTTTCAATTCAGTTTCTTGGTGTTTTGCAATGTTTATTGGAGTTGCTATCTGACAACACATTAAAAATGAAACTTTCATTTTTAACGTCTACGTACTTTGTATAACTATCTCCTAAGAAGTAAACTTTATATAACTTAACATAGAATGTCTACTTTAAATAACGTTTCCCTAAAATAACTGCATTTGTAGTTGAATTATAGAAACAGGGTGTTGTAGACTTAACATTATGTCAGAAGGGCATTCTATTTGTTTTGAAACGCTAGAAAAAATGATATTGTCAAAAATTTATATAATGTATTACAAACTCTAAAAGTATTGTAAATTACTTTGTGCATTTTATTTTTTTATGGTATATATAGCAAATTATCATAATTATGTTAATGAAGAGTATACTAAAATCAATTTTTGAATTTTGTATATTATGCAGCAACTTTTTGAGAAAGCATTGGAATCTACAGTTTTAAATTGTAAGTTAGCATCACAATTAGAAATTTGGTGTGGTTGACGGGTAGCGTACCTTTTGGGTTTCTATGTGATTTGTTAGTGAGTGTATTAGGTGAATATTTCCCTTGTCAAAAATGTGGTAAAGAAAGGTAACTTTGATCTTTAAAAAGCCTAGTAGTGGTTCATTAAGACCTCTTCATATAACATTCGTCATCTTGTACTTTCTATTAACTTTACATTTAATTAGTGCATAAACTTTCGAGAAATTGTTGCTATAGAAATTGCTCCCGTGATACACGTCATTGTCACTATATGACAGGTAATTTGTCTTAACAAATAACAAAAGTCATTGATTAAGTGTGTCATTCATAGTTAAACATTCGTGCTGTTTTCTGCGAACAGATACACACTTAGTTGTTTATATCCCAGGCGTACTTACGTATAAAAGTCACTAGTTCTAGGCCATTGAATTGACAAGAAATATTTTACATTTTAAGCATTTACACAACCTAAGCATTTTAGACAGAAAGTTGAATGGTACACACATTTATCAAAACATTAATTAAACGACTTTTTCTAGTGCTGTGCAGTTATCGTGTAATAAATTCCTGTAGATTCCTTTGCTAAAACTGTTCTAAACCTGATCCAATCAAAACCGTTCGGCTTATAAATACCAATCTATCGGTTATTTCGTTGCCCATTTTGTTGCTGGTCGGTGTGATTCTAAATTGAAACCTCTTAAATTTGTCTTTTGACTATTGTCTGTGTTACCCATGTTTCATTTGAATATCATTTCAGTGCTAAGTGTAATAAAGTCTGTATATTATCCTTTTTCAAGGATACTTCAAATCTCCTTACTTTACATGGACGACATCGCATTATTTGTGAAAGAGTTTTGTTCTGTATATTATCATAAATATCACGACCCTATAATGGTATAAGTGTAAATCACTCATGTCTGGTACAATATTCTAAATAATGTTATAGACACAAGAAATAATTCAGAACAAGAAAGACAGATAATTCATAAAGTGTACAACTTAAAAATTCTCTATTGATCAATATCATATTTACAGGTTACGAGCAACAATGCGAAATATTGTTTTCTTTTCTGATATATATAAAAAGCCCTAAGATAATGACATATGTCAATCAATAACTGTTTATTTTATTATTCGGTTGATCCCATTATGTATACTTCTTTATGATTTTGGCTTGAAATTAAAAGGTCACAAAAATACGTTTCAACATCGTCTGTTAAACTGTGCCAGACGTTATTGCTTCATAATTTACTGGTTAATCTAGATAAAATGTGATTTGAAAAACTTATTTTATACAAAACTGGTTATGAATAATTCTAGTCTGTGTTACGATTTAACAGGGATTGAAACTGTTCTCAAAAGATAACAAAACTACTCTCTTTTTTCCAGAATAGGATCAAAATAATTAATTAATTTTTGAGACCAAATGGGACATAAAAGATCGCAAGTAGTAATAAAACGGTCATACCGATCGGTATTCATCTTTCTAATCAATTAAAATTCCAACACAACAGTTATTTTACAGCTAATTGAGCAATTTTGTTACAACATTTCAAAACTTAACTGACATTTTCTATTTATGGCTGCAGACATGTAAAGATATATTTCCCGTCCACTTGAATTCGTGTGTATCCTTTACTTGCAAATAGCATCCAAATTTCAGCACTCCAATGACAAACCTGTTAGACTGTGGGCTTGGAAATTTATCCAAAAGCTCGCTTTAAGAAAGCTTAGTAGAGATCTCAAATTATTCCCCATACACCTAAACTTGCATCAGTCTTGCTTGTAATAATATAAAGAAATGGTGTTGAAATTAGCAACGCTTTTATGATGGTAAACATCCACGACAATATCAACTTGCAAATTATTAAAGTAATGCAATGAAACTGTAACACATTAAGTAAGCTGGAATAAGATATCATTTAACGTTCTTCTCTTTTAGTTTGTTTTCTTTTTGTTTTACTTATACATGTATATCGTTTTTTGTTTAGTTCCGCCATTGGAACTGTCTTGTAGGGCACAAATATTCGATCATACGCCGCTTCACATGGAGCGGCACCTATGATCACATTGAAGGTTCCATGATTCCCTCCGTATAAACACGTATGTGGATGTTTCTGAATTTACAATGTCACCTTTTTTCATGATTAAATGTTGGATTCTGCTTAAGCCAGTGTTGGGGGTGAGTGGGTGTACGGTTACTTGCACTTTTAAGTACTTTTCATGGACAGGCTCATGCACACCGATCTTGCAATATTTCCAATTTTGCCGCTTTGCCGTTCCTCAGGGATACTGTTTTTTTCTATTTTGATATTAGTAGTTCGCTGTAAATTTGCAACTGTGACGGCTTTAGATATCACAAGGTGTTCCTGTTTGACAGTCCAAATATATCACCTTCGAACATGTGAACTAGATCAAATGAATTTAATTTCCCAATGCGTTGTTTTTCCGATCTAGTAAAAAACAGGGTGTTCTAATATCCATTTAATTGGGCAGAATTATTCAATTACTTTCTGTCAATTGCAAGCTGTGGTACGTGGATGAGAGATGAGGGAAACAAGTAGATAAACCGATAATATATAGAAATTTACTCTTAAAATACGTTATTAGCTTTAAAAGAAAAAGGAACATTTACTAGTTTTGTACTCATGACGTTTGTTTTAAAGTTACCGTATTTAGTTGTTAACAAAAAATGAGTCAAATAATGTCCACTTAAATGATATATGCCACTCTGCATTCCATTTATCTTGTTGCATTTCATAACGAATAAGTAACAAATACCCGGAAATTTATCAACAAAAATAGAGCACAGTCAGTTTTGAAACATTTTAAAGTTCCTACTCCTTAATATTAATCCTTTAAACTGATAGTATTCAACTGAAAGTATTGCACACATGACTCAGAACATTGTGAAATTTACAACCGCAAACATTGATATATGGGGCCTCTTTACCTTATCGAAATTTTTAACATAATCAAGGGAGCAATGTTGATGCCAAAACAGTCGGAATGCATTATTTTTTGTTATGTGCAAGTTAACATATTCAAACACGTACGTATTGTACATTAATGTGGTATTCTATTGAGAGATTTGTTGCATTTAATGCGTTAGAATGCCAACAGCTCTTCTTTTTCCATTAACTAACTCTAACTAGTTGACAAATCATAAGATATTCTCGATTAACGATTGTAAGAGTGCAAGCTAATCTTGCTCTTTTTTTCCTTAAAGTAACTATCGGCGTTTTACAAATGCCGTGCATCGTTCTTAATGCACTTCTTTTTAACTATATTATTTGTTCAAAGATATTTTTATTGCTATGCTACATCCTTGTTTTCAGACAATTTAACGCAAATAAATTCAATTAAGTTTATGCTGATTGAAGAGTGTTGCGTAGATTAAATGCTGTCACGGAATTGTGAATGTTTTCCTAGCATGATTATCTTTCTTTGCACGAACATTTAATGAGGCAGACTGATATTTACATAAAACATTGAGACACATATGGAAAGAATTGTTAAGTTAGAACAGACAGAAAAGCTGACAATAGTTCGTTTGAATTATTTCAACAACGCATGATGATATTAAGTGTCTTTCAATCGTCTTCTATAATGTACAATCGGTGTAATTGCATTAGGTATAGACTGAGAAAAAAGGTTGCTTGAGACATTGAAAGAACTGGGTCTAAATTCAAACTTGAAAACTGAGGAAATTCAAATTTGTTTCATACTATTTGGGGCTAATATTAAAATTGCTATCAAACCACCAAAGTCCCGTTAAGAAGGGAATCTGTGTTTCCTGCATGTTGCGATCCATGTCTAATCTTTTAGTGTCACTTTCGAAAAATCTCGTTTTAACTACATTCAATGAATATTTACTTTAATAAAAGTTATTCATATGAAATAACATGTTAATGACTAATTTCAATAACAATAAATTGAAATTATTCATTGAATATAACGCATCTAATTGACTGAATGGAAATGAACATGGATATATCAGTATATTATACAAAAAAAGCAGAAAAGATACAATATCAAACAATAACAAGTGACATTAAAGGTCCATTATGCATAATAAATGCTATCACTTTTATTTCTCAAAAACTGATTTTTGGTATCTTGTGACAGTCTTATAAGAAATACATATTTTCTATATATATATGTACATAAATTGTCTATGCTTTGTTGCAATTGGTATAATTATACTGAAATAGTATTTTGTATGGAAGTCAAAATACTACTTTGTTTACATTTTGCTATCTTCATGACCGAATACTGCACATTCAGCGCTATTGCCCTCACCTGTTGGACATTTAACATGCTGTAAAGTCCATTATTTTAAAATAATGAAACACTTATTTGACATTTCTAAATAATTTAATAAAATATGTACATTTGTAGTACAATACTACATGGTGAAATTAGGTATGAAAATTAAAGAGCAATACAGAGAAAAGCAAAGAAGTGGATAAAGCTTTCACATTCCAAAATATGATGTCTACATTAAATGGTCCATTTATCAGCTGGAGAAACACTTAACAGATCATCAGTCACAGCCAGTTTCTTCGTTAGTTAATCTGACGCTTACTCCCGATGGGAGTTTTAAATATTCATGACAAATAATGGCCTCGTAAATCATGTTAACAAGATTACAGTTATAGATCTTTTAGCATAGATTTATAAAATAATGCAGGGGTTCAAGAATATATTTAAAAAAACAGGTCCCGTGTAAGACAGAAAAAATGTCATTAAGTAAAATGTACAGTATTAGTTTCAAATGTGTTGTTAGGTAATATAAATACACTTCAAATTTAAAGGTGAATATAAAACTTGCAATCAATCTTTTGATACATTATTTGAAGAACTGTTCGAAGACTTAGCATGAAAGCTTTGTGCTAAAAGCTTTGTTGAAAGCCGCTTCCTCATAATAGATATAACATCTTTTAAGAAATGGTTGACAATATTTCTTCCATCAGTAGGTACAAGTACATTTACATTTATATTGTTTACACATCTGATGCGCTTTGGGGTCATTTGCACTGCAAACTTGGTCACAACCTTGCGCAATACCTTTGCAGACAACAGGACCGTTTTCGTGTAATAGCATTGCTGGCCAAACAATATATTTAATGTGTAATCCACTTGTTGTGTACTCTTTGTACAGATTCTTATCAAACTTATCCTGTTCGTTTACGTCAATTACATGGATACACATAGGCAGTGACTGGACTACCATCATCCAACAAACATATATACATTTTCTAATAAATGGCTTCAAAGCAGGTACAAAGTCATCGTTCCTCCAGCTTGCTTTTAAGTAAGCCTGAAAAAAGAAATTTTAATGTGTGAATGATATAAATACGAACTTTAAATAAAATAAAACGATATATTATAATTAGCAAATTTGAATATGAAAAGTGAATAATTTCAGATAATCACCTTTTGAACAACAGGCACCATGATTTCGGCAACTTCCTTCTGAAATACCTTCAGTTTATCCAGTATGGCCTCAGAGCGCTGAAGCTATATGTATAGAAATATACAATATTGCTTTGAAATGTAATATACCGATGCTCCTTACAATAAGCGGGTTCAAAGGTGATACATATAAGAATGGTTTGGTGAAGACAAATACACATGTAAATATTTTGTGGATGCTTATTTACAGAAACACTGCTTATAAGAAAATAAGAAACAACGTACTTACTATTTTGATTAAATTTAGCGTATGAACAAATATCAATGATATTTGAATTTCTTCCCAATGGACGCATTTCAATTGATAAAATTCGTAAAATAATTATTATAATGTACATAACTTCATATTTTGCCAAAATAATAACAGAACTCACTTTCACGATTATTTTTTTCAATGAATCCTAAAAAGAAATAAAAAGAGCAAAAAAGTTTAGATTATAGAATTTACCGCCATTGATGCTCGAACGTTTTCTTTACCAGTTCCATTATCTTTTTTATACCTCCATCTTTCAGTCAGCTCGAAATTGTTATCTTCACCACCTTCACTGAAGTCTGATTTTTGAATGTTTGAAAGCTATATAAGAGAATGTGATTTAGGTTGTTAATTTTAATTCAAATCCGTCAAAACATTAATTGTATATATTTTAACATGTTACATGTATATCGCTCGATAATAACGGTTGTAAGTTCGCCATTTGATTTAAAATAATTTTTATAACTATAACATTTCCGTTTTGTTTATATTTCTATCGAGTCTTTTACATTTCTAAATAAAAAGGAATGAGTTTGAGCTATCCAAGTTAATTTTCTACCACAACACATTTTTATAAATGTCTTCTATAATTATATTATTCTAGATGACATTAATACAGAATTGAATTGCGTATAAGGTAAATAATTTATATTAAGATATATTTACTCTTTTATTTTGCATCGTTGTAACGTTGACGCCATTCTACAATACAAATAGCATACTAATAAAAAGCAAAAACCATTCATAACACGAAAAAGGTAGAGTGCTATCCTGGCTGTTGAAGTTTACTTCAGATTATAAATCATCTCGTTTTACATTTTGAAACCCTTAGACTTTAAAACACAATGGCAAGTTTATTGAACAGATATGTTTACTCATACGACGAATTTTATCATTTTCACTGCTTAAATTAAAGAAATAGATACATTCTGACATTATATACAAATTATTCCTTTCCACAAAGATAAAGTCAAGACCTGTGGTGTTTATATTTAAAAAGGACATTTTATTTGAATTAAACTGTACAGTTTCTCGTCATAATAATTGTAGACATATATATTTAACATCATATAAATTTTTTTATAATATTAAATCATTTGTTAAATAAACACAAATTACAGAATAACATTTTTATAGTGGTCTTTTACCGTAAATCATTATTTTTGAACATTATATGTGAACTGTATGGACTTAACACCACTGCTATATTTATTCTATTACACTCGTCGTTAGCAGGCCTAGTAGGTAAATTTGGAATAACAAACAAACAAACTAAATGACTAATTAGCTAGCTAATTAACAAACAAGCAAACAAAATGCTCAACTGTTCCTGGATTATCTTGTAAAAGCTTGTATTCTTCAAACAAGTAGTTGACCGCATCGTCCGTTTTAGTCAGCATAGTTTGAGCTTTTTTCTTGCAGAAATCATAAACGTTCTGAAAATATAAATGTATTGAAAATTGTGTATAATGAGATATAATTTTTATTATTGAATTAATCATGTAACAAAAATATGAAGAAGGAGAAATCTCTCGACTACTGAACTAACTACTGAAAAATACAACATACCTTTCACACCCATAGCACCGGCTGAATCAATATAGCGTTTTTTATGCTAAACGTATCGGAATTAATGATCATGAAGGACTAGAAAAGAACTGTTTACATGTTTCGTTATGAAAGCCATATATTACTGACGGCTATAAGTTATCATAATCGATGTTAACAGGCCAACAGTGATATGTTAAATAACACGTCACTCAACGGACATTATCTAATTCAATTTTGATAGTAAATATCCACTTATTTAAATATTAAGCCTTAATAAGATTTAGCGTTTTTCTAAACATTATCCGATTGCATAATCTGTTGTGTTTTTTTTTTAATAATCTTTTTGGATTCAGTGCTTTACTACATTTTTTTGTCAAAAATCAAAATGAGTGTTCATTCGATTTCATTGAAATAAAATGAGACTATTTCCTTCTTACAAGTAATGTCAGATGAAGTGTAGAAATTGCTTCCTCATCATCATGTCCTGCACCCGTAAGCCCATCAAGAGCGTCCGTCCATTCGTTATCGTAAAGTTCACTGTAAACTTCACCGAGTTTAGTTGGTCTGTTTGTATCAGATAAATCAGCAATTGCCGGGTTGTCTTTTGTCAATTTCTCGCCCGCTACCTTACTTAGCCTTGCAAATAGATGAAAAATTAAAAGATGAAAATTAATATTACGTAATATTGTGTTTTTGTAACATTATCTTGTGAAGACATTTCAGTGTAGTTAAGAACTGCATTTGTTCTTTCTAGAAAATTAACAAGTAGTTTAAACGTGAACTAAATGGTATCATGGCAAAATGTTTATTTTCCTACATGTGTTAACATACTATTACAGTCACTATGAATAGGTAAGTAAGACATGGTTTACTGTGGCTTTCATGTTTATATTTATACAAATTTCCAAAATCATTGTATCTCCAAGTATTGCATTTGATACATTTCTTGTTAAATTTCTTTTTTCAACGGTTTTTGAAATTATATCTAAAATTGACATTATGCTCATTGTTTTTCTCATTGTCAAGTTTAACTGAATTGACTATTTTTTTCCCCAAAAATTTACTGTTATCATGGTGATTGACCAACAGTTGCTGTAGGAACATGTTTAGGATAAAATATAAATCTGCCTAAAACATAAAAAACTGCCCCACCTTTTTATAACTTAAAAATTACAGGTAATTCTGATGGTAATTTTACAGAAGTCTCCTTGGACCACGTTGGTTATTTATTGTTCATGCGAAGTTAATTACAAAATTGAAAGGAATTATGGCAAAATGTAAACGACTTTGACAGGTTCACTCAGTTTAAACCGTTAGATAAGCATTATGTTACTTAAAGAAACAGACAATCTTTACTAGCTTATCACATAACAAGTAATAATTTGGGATTATTTCGATACCGCATAAGCAGTTCCTCGTTTTTCATTTCCTCCTTCATAAGTTTATCCTTGTCCTCTAAACGTAACTTCTTTAAGTTTTCTATTTCTTGTCTCAACTTGACATTTTCCTCCTTAAGCTGTGAATCATTATCAGAACAAACAGCCTCCTTATGTTTGAAAGGATTTTTCACATGCCATTTCTTTTTCTATAATTCATTAAAAATAAGATATAAAAATACATGTTGCACATTGATAAATAAAACGGAAACTTGTCATGGTTTTTACAGGTTTATGTAACAGTCATATAAATATGATATTATCTTTTCTTATACTATCTATTTTCCTCAACACATTAAACATCGAAAAAGTACAGTTTTAAAGAAATACACCAAGATCTATGCGTGTTAAGATAGGGCTTTAAGAAGATAAATATAAAAATGTGTATACATTGTACATTGACAGCAAACAGATTTGATTAATGAAAATTTCTAAAATTGAGAGATATCTTTAGTTCAAGAAAACCTTAACTATTTTTGGTCAGTTCTATATGATTTATCTGTTCATGAAAGAGACTGAAAAATATTACGCATCTTATGCCCTTATACCTGGTTTAAACAGTATACACTATTCAAGTATAATCTACAATCTATACAATCTATAATGCTAAAATCCATGATCCCGCGATATGTAGTAAGAATATAACACTTCTTATATGAAAATGAGGTATTTTTATACTTTTCAAACACGAACATTTTATTATCAGATAAAGGGTAGTGACGTTTTATGGACATTTTAAAAACTTTACTCGTTGCAATAACCTCTGCGCTGTTTCTGTCACAGAAGTGAAAGTAAATATTTACCTCCTTGTTGACATGACTTAATTTCTTTTCCGTGTCGACTAACAGTGTGTGCAGTTGTTGCTTTATTTCATCCGGAGTTTTACATTTGATTTCTTTTATGGTTGAATTGATATGGTCTAATTCAGTTTCCACTGTATCAAGCAAGCCGTCATCACATTGATTTTCCATTTCACCATCTTCGGTTGATGAAGTGTAAAATGTTGACTTTTGTTCACTCCGATGAGGGGAGTGTTCGGACGGATTGTTACCCCTACATATTAAATAAAATAGCAACAGGAAAGTTGGATTTCATTCCTTCGTTTAGAATTGAAGACATGCAATAAAGTTATAAATTTAGATTTATGGGGTCAATTTTGCTTTAAATTATCTTACAGAAGTAATGTGTTCAATTTAGTCATAATATTTGTATGATTTACAATTTTTATTTTCGTTATCAAAAACTTTATTGTCCAACACAAGAAGAGTAAACATTTGGAAATCTTGATTTATATCTCCTTTGACTATATTAAGCATATCGCTTGTCAATATATCAAACTTAATAAAATTTGTAGTTAAGTAAACAGCTTCTTATTCTTCCTTTCGCTTCATTATTTCTCGCTGTAATTTCTAATGATTAGAAAATTGGTCTTATTATCAAACCTAATACTTCCGTTTCTGACTCGGCGAAATTTTGACTAACCTTTTTACCAAAAAAATGATTACGTTAACAGAGATAACAAACTTGAATTTGTGCATTTATCAATTGATATCGATTCAACCGATTCTTTCCCTGTTAAGTTAAGAATTTCGTGTTGTCGCAAAATATTTTCAGCTTATTAAATACAATACTAAAAACACAACTGACGAAATCAAAACAAAATGAAATAGTTAAATATTTACTGCTCAAAATGCCATAAAGACGTTATTTGTCGTTTTTACCCTTGTATAATATTCGTAAAAATAATATAAACTTTGACAGCCTGCCAACATGGGCCATTAAGTAGAATGTGAGCGCGGTGCTCTACAAAACAAGTTATATTTTTACTTAAAATTATTAATACATTGGGCGACAATTTTTTATATGCAACTTTCCATTAACCTGTATAGGTTTCAAATTGACTTCCCCATAATACATGTAAGAATAACACTGAAAAAACTTCTGATCAAATCATAATTTCATTTATTGTCAGATATAATTTTAAACATAACAATGTTATCTTTACAGTATTTATTGATATCTCCTATTTCATCTATATATTGTTTTGTATGTAGCCATATATTTGAAACAATCGAGTCGATAACTAGTTTTGTTTTAAATTTTGTCTAGATAAAAATATGCTCCAATAAAATGTTGTATCATAATTTGGGGACATTTTCGTTGAAAATGTGAGATAAATTGTATACATATACATGCACCGTGCGTTTACTTGAGTGCTGGTATAAGTTACCCGCACTCCAGAGCATGCCCATTGATTGGCTCATTTTTGCTTGGGTTTACTTATTGTGACGGCAGAGAAAGGGAAAGCGACAGAAATATCATGTTCAGATGCTCGTTCATTGGTTATTTTTTCAAGGGGTTTCATATTGTGACAACAGGGAGCGTGTTTTTATGTTTGACTATGATACAAAAGAGAAAGAACATCAAAGCACTCGGCAATCTGATTAATACTCGGGGGCTACGCACCCTCGTACAAATCAGATAGCCTCGTGTTTCGATGCTCTTTCTATTACATAAATACAAAAGAAAAAAACATACATTTTTGTAAGTGAAAACAAAACATTAAAGACCACATCCACACTTCTGTTGTAATACCATGATCAGATAAATTATTTCCAATAATTGAAGATTAACCACTAAATAAATTGTTTACGTTACAATGTAGAAATAAAACAAATGAAAGTTAAAAGAAAAATGAGAATATGATTGTTTAAAGTGAAACTTTATAAAAATCAAATTTGCACCTCGGTAATAATGTTATCTGTGTGTTTATGCTGAACTTATTTTACTAATTTAAAACCAATTTTCATATAATTTGTTCCTTATTATTTTACGTATAATTCCAGTCCAAATCAAAAGATGTCTTATAACCTTACATAAATTTAATGTAAGATACTTTCCTGAATAAAATGCTGTTATAAAACGGTTTTAACGGATGTTACACATTAAAAATTAAGGTAATGTTTAAAATATAAATTATTTTGAAAGAAATCAAAATAGAAACAAAACATATCACTAAATGAGACAAGTATTTAATATGATAATAAAAAACTTACATTTTGGCTGGTATTTTCCTTTTGAATAAACGAGGAAGTGAAACAAATTTAAACGTTATAAATTTCAGGGGTGAACGTATTTGATAAAAAAAATTTAATCAATACAACGACTTCATAGTGCTTTAAATGTATAATCGTTATTTGACATTTTATAATCATGCGAGATATCTGATTTATTACCATGTTAAACATTGCAATTTACAATGCTTTGAAAGATTTGTAAAGATTTGGGGATTTTTGCTTGATCTTGTACGTTTTACAACGATTTTAACATAATTTGGTCATATCTGTGCTTCGTAAGCAAGCAAGTCAGCTTACTCTCATGAAAGAATCCAAAGTGTTTGTCGGGATTCGAACAGGCAGCGGTGCGGTGAAATATAAACTACCACATGGGTCATAGTTCAAGATCAGTTGTTACGGAAACATTTCGCTTCAAAAAAGGATAAAAAACACCACGATATTACAAATTCTTTTCCTATTGAGCCTAACGGGCGGCCATTTGGGGTCTTTAAGAAAACTTTATAAATTAAACCGCAAATATCATTGATACTTTGATAGAACTGAAAATGCAATTTAAATTATTTGATATATTGAGTAAAATGTTGCACATTGTTTCAGATGAATATCCTTTAGCTTAAGCTATTGTATTAAGTCGTCAATAGTCTGTAAAAATGTATGTTGTATTACATTTAATCTAACATTCCTTTTTTAACCAAGCAATGTCTTTTTATTAATATATCGACGGTAAGTTTTCGTTCTTTATTAGATAAATTTTGTCATCTTAATAATATTTTGTAGTGCGTCTATTTCTTTCAAATGAACAAAACAAACTGTTTTCAACGCAGATGTAATTCGATACTCTACACAATTTAGATGAACCAGAAAACAAATTGGATGACAAATCCAACACGTCTAGATATTTAAGCGAAAGTAAAACTTTACAGTCATACTGTCCAGTCTGCGTCTTCGCTATTGTTCAATCTATTTACACACCTTGTAATGAAACCATCTTATTGTCAAAATATCTAGCGAAACACTTATATTTGTCTTCTTTTCAGAAAACCAGGAAGTAAAATCCGAGTTACAGTGAAGTAAAGATTTAACTGTTCGTGCGTTAATTCACACAATCGGATTTATAAATAATCTTACACTTTAATAAAATATTATATACATTTATGGATAAATGTACGTTATATACATACATATATCCGATAAGGTTATACAAAGTAAACACTGGTAAATTGTGTGAAGTAAAAATGAACAGGTTAAACATTTTATAAACTAATAATAACAGTTGTAAGTGTCAATACTGAATCAATTTTGATATCATGAATAAAACTTTAATAATATAATTATAATTATGATGCGTCTTAGCATTGGGTGAAGAATTTAATAAGTCAGAGAGCTTCCCCAGATGCTGATGAACAAAAACGGTGCATCAGCACTATTCTTGTATTAAATGATATGTCTAATTCAGTTATTCCGCGTTTCACTTTAAGGAGTCCATTTTATTATGTTTTCTACATTCTAGTGCGATAATACATTTTGACATGCAAACCAACCCTAACCCACAAATCATTTTAGTCGAAGTTTACCTGCGTGCGACGTTTTTGTGCAATAATATTAAATTTTACACATTTTCAAATTACCAAATATCTGTATAATTTACACGATCTGTATTACATTTATTTACACAATAAAATATTTGTTTGACTTTCTTTTCTTCATAAAAAAGAAATAGCATCTATATTGTATGTTTTGTTTAATTTATTTTTAATAAACTACAGAGCAATATCATTACTTCCGGTTGTGTCAAAAGTATTTGAAAAGATTATTTTTAATAGAATAGACTGTTTAGACATTAAATTAAATAACATGCAACACGGGTTTCAAAAAGGCAAAAGTTGTAAAATGGTCTCGTTTCTCCTACAAGAGTCACGTGATCATTTCATTGAACGTGGGAGCCCATTGCAAGTATGTTTCCTTGACGCGAAATCTGCTTTTGACACGGTTTGGATATCGGGTTTAATGTATAAACTTAACGAAATAGGCGTTCCTGGAAAACTACTACGTATAATCAATTGCTCCCTTCGTGGCTCAAACAGCAAGGTTTTCCTAAATGGACCCTTATCTGATACATTCCATATTATGCAAGGAACAGGCAGGGAAGTATATGTGCACCATTTACTACACCGTGTTTATAAACGAACTATTAAACGAACTTCACAAAGTGGTTTCCGTATAATTGAGTGAATTACCTCTTTCCGCTCCAACTCAGGCCGACGATATTGTCTTGCTTTCAACAAGTAGAGTTGATCTTCAAATCCTATTAGATATAAGTCTAACATACGCAAAAAATGGCGGTATTCTTATAATCCCGACAAGTGTGCTACTATGACAGTGAATAGAAAGAAATCACGTGTTTTGGCGCCAATAAAACTTTTATATGGTAGCTCGATTATATCAGACGTACCCAATTATACATATCTCGGCATTGTGCAGTCATCAAACGGTAACTATCCCTTCGACATCGACGAAGTTCGACATTCCATGAGAAGTACATATTTCTCTTTGAAAAACTCAGTCAGTGTAAATCCACATAATATCGCAGGGTTGTTTCCAACCTGTATCCGTCCTAGATCATTATTTGTTTGCGAACTTTTAGTTTTTTGCAGGCAATTCCTACAGAGATATTTATTACATACACATTAGGATATGTAAATATCAATCTTATTAACGTTTTATCCGCTGATAAGTACCCATATTTCATGGCCATATGTGCAAGGTTCTTGTTATCTTTATTTAAATAAAGTAATTATTTAAATGAATTTATTACATAGACAAGAAAGAAATGTAAAAGGAATGTAAAGAAAGTCACTATTTCATTTATATTTGTTAAAATTTCGATTTTGCATTTAACAATCTTTAAAAAATGTTAAATAATGTCTTGCAAAAGCTAAAGGAACTACTGTCATTTTATGCATTTCTAACCTTTCTATATGTAAGGTTTGCTTTTAATGTCAATTAGCTTCCTTCTTCTTCATTATTTTGTCCAAACGTTATGTACATGATAACTTAAAAACGAAAAAACACGTAAAAGCATATAAATGTTGAATACATGTATATTTGCAGCTGAATGTGCTATTTTTGCGTAAGATGTTAGTTTTGTATCTTCTTGCACTAATATGATGTGCTGATATGATTAACGTCACTTCTCTTCAAATATTGTCTTATGTAATATATATAATTTTAATCTTTGAAATTGTTCCTTTTGTATAATTATGTTGCTTTACTTTGCTTAATGTAATTTCTTTTCATTGACTGTTTTGTGTAATATGTATATCTTCGAACATTCGGAGGCAATAAAGATGTATATACAGCTGAATAATCACCAAGTCGCACTGCAAGTAAGATATACACACATAACGAAATGTAAAAGATTATAATACAATCAAGAGGTTAACGACAATGTTCTCACATATTGTCAAATATTATTCTTATTAATGATCTTCTTTAATAGTTAATAAAATATATCTTATACATTGATCTGATAGCAACACCTAATCAAAAACCTAAATATTAACAGCTTATTGTACCCTAAACACAGTTTGTAAGTACACTACTAACATAACTTCCTGCTTGTTTTATGATGTACACAATAATCAAAATGGCTACGAACGCAGCTAATCCTAAAAATCCGCCAATAACTACGCTAAATGTTTTATCCAAATTTCTGAAAATATGAAAAATATCATTTCTGATGAATTCAAATAAACAATAAAATGAAATTCTAAAGCAGCATATACATTTAACTTGGAAAAAACTAAAACTACTACAAAAATATTACATCTATCGACCAGCCAGTAGTATAGCATCGAGTTTGCAAACTCGTGTCGCTCTAAGCAACCACATTCGGGTTCAGTTGGTTAAGGTTTACTGGCAGATTTATTCTAAAAGAGTAATAACATTATTTCTCAAAATCCTACTTTCATTTTGTATCTACTATAAGTATTAAGTAATAAAGTATTGTTTTAAATGTAAAGGTTACAATTATTGCTAAGTTACTTAATATTCTGTACTGAAATCGAAGTATTAGTTTGACCAAATTAGGTTAAAATCAGCGAATTATATGATAATCGGCGGCATTTGTGTGTGTCTCTCTCTTTACATTGAAATATAGAAAGCGCCTTACATTGACGATGACTCCTCTGAAAAGAAGAAAAAATGTGGTCAGTAAAATGTTATATCTTCTTAATAGATTCATGATTAAAATGTACACACACATTACAGTATTAAATCGATTAAATGTTACAGATGACAAGGTATGTAATTACTAAATATATGACAAAACCTAATAAAATAAGCTGTTAGGAGAAAGTATTAATTCCCCGATTTATTTTTCGGGAAACATAAAAATGTTCTGACGCAACACAAACTATTTTTAAATATTGGTCAAACTATCTAAAGATAATTTGTTTCAATTTCTTTCAGTCTTGCGATACCAAGCCAGTATATTAACATATTGGCCTGAAAGACAAAGACACTTGAAGAGTAAATAACGACTGGCATTTTTTGTAGGGATTTATTGACACAGTGCCGGTACATTTACACAATTTATTATACTAACATGGCAAACACGGAAAAGGCAATAGTTATTTTTAAAACAATTCTTAAATCGTATTATTGAATCGTTTTATTCTATGTTTCATTTTTTAATTATTCATTTAATGCCTTTATTGTAACAGTATTTTATTGCTGTTTCATTAAGGTTATACATTTATATTTATATTAAATTGATTAAAACATTCAATGCAGCAGTTAGATTATAGTTATTGTAACCCACTTGCGCCTGTTTACCAAATATGCTTTTATCGTTGTTTACCCTTCAAGTGTCTTTTTAAGGGTGTATTGTTTTTCAAAGCTTAACAGATAGTTCGAAAAAATATAAAATCTACCTTAATAACAAAAAGAGGCAAACTATAAATTGATCGTAACCGATAAACTTTTAAGTCAACGATATTTATGTAAATGTATGTGGGTCTTCTGAATATTTTTTTTGCATAGTTGAATAAAGAGTAGGACACAATTATGGCAAAATGCAAAGATTTGTTTAGCTTTACCTGTGCTCTTGGGTGGCTATAATGTTATTTTAAACAAAAAAATAAAATAATTATGTAACTTGTATACATAAAAACTTCATTGTTCATCGTTTTAGCAATGTTTTTTGAAATTGATTGTATAGTGACCATTTACAATATTATGATTATCATTTAATATTATCAAATTTAGTTTAATATCAAATTCAAATTAATGTTACTTAA